GCTACCGCTACTGCTGCTGCTGCTACTGCTACTGCTACTGCTACTGCTACCGCTACTGCTGCTGCTGCTACTGCTACTGCTACTGCTACTGTTACTGTTATTGCTGCTGCTACTGCTACTGCTACTGCTACTACTGCTACTACTGCTACTGCTGCTGCTGCTGCTGCTGCTAATTACTGCTACTGCTACTGCTGCTAGAACATTATTACTACTACTTCCCCTACTCCTACTCCTATCCTACCCCCACTCTTACTCCTACTCTCCTACTCCTACTCCTACCCTAGTCCTACCCCTACTTCTACTCATACTCCTATTCTTACTCCTGCGGTTGGCTTGGTTCTGGGGAACCCATGTTCCATCTTTTTGCTGTTTTTACTGCGATTTACTGATGTTCGATTTTGACATACATGGGTATCAGGCCTTTATCATCATCCCAGTAGTCGGTGCAAGCTACGCCGCATTAGTCCAAGCGACGCCGCATTAGTCCAAGGATAGGACTTCTGATTTAATTTCATCATCGCTCCATTACTCCAAGCCAGCTCAAGAGCTTGTTGCAAACGAATTGGCGGCACAAAACATGTTTCGCCGCGCTGGCAGCTAGCATGTCTAGAATGCAGCAAATGATGCGCCTGCCAGTGAGTTTGCATGCAGATGGGCAGAAAACCCTACCCCCATCAACTACGCGATAAGCCCCTCCCACTACTACTACTACTACTATTACTACTGCTATGACGTTTCTTGTTCCTATTATTGATACTATCACTAGAACTCGTATTCCCGGTGCAGTTCCTGCCTCCATATTTAGAAAGCTTATAACTGGAATTAAAATATTTATGTGATCATTACTAATGTTGTTCGTATTATTGCTAGCTGTTTTTCCAATGGCAATGAATGCTGGTATTGCTGTTGTCGTTATGCGTGCAATGTCAGTATTAGTACTTTTTGCATGGTGTTATTCTTGTAGTTGTACGTCTTATTGCTTTTTTTTTGCAATCATCATGATTCCTTTAATGCTGATACATGCTAATCCAGTTCGTTTTCCTGACCCGCCCCGTGCCCCCAAACCCCATTCTTCCCGGCTCTACGCAACTGAAAATTCTTCATTCGGAATGGAGACTCCAAACGACATCAACTACTGCAAGATGTAGTGTTTAAAGCCTCCAGGAAGCCCAGAAAGCTGAGTTTGGCCTGAAAGCCCAGCAAAACACAACTAAGAAAAACAAAAAACCTTCAATGAGAGCCTGTGCAAGCTCTTGCTTGAGTCCTGGGGCCTACGTGGCTGCAGCCAGCGCTGGCTGTGCCGTTCCCGAGGTTGGCCTTTTGGGTGAGCTTGAGCAAAGAATGCTTCTGTGAGGGACGCACTGAGGCATATCCAACGACACAAATCGGCAGCCGCTACTGCTTGCCTTCTGGGCAGCGCTCCCACGGTCTTTCAAGAGCTTGCTGTTGCTGTGAATTCGAGTTGGGCTCAGGTCTGATGAAGCGGTTGCTCGCCGCCAGGCGCTTTGGATAAATTCAGCCAGCTTAGCTGAGGGCTGCGTACTGTTTATGCGTCTTTCATCTCCGGTACAGGTTGAGCAGGGCATGAGAGACACGGCCGCGGAAATCTTCACGGTGCTCATCCGTATAGGTGAGGACTGAGGCGTGCTAGCAACATCTGTTGGAGGGTCTTGACAACCAGGAAAGGGTTGGCGGGTGCTGCTTCTGGCAGTCGTGCTTGCCTGTGTGATGGGGTTCGCACCTCAGCTTAGCCCTCCAAAGAGAGCTTTTGTTCTCTATGCAAGCCAAGCAGGTATCTTTTCCTGTTCATGCTCAAGACGGTAGCCAGCTGCATCATTTGGTTCTGTGCGCTGGCACGGATCTCGACTTTGAGCAGAAGTCCGCAGCTGCATAATTTGCATCAGAGCTCCGTGTTTTGTTGAGGTGGGCTTGGCAGCCTTTCTTCTCCTGGGTGCCTTTCTGTGGGTGCAGTCAGAGGCTCCGAGCCTCTCCCAGCCCAGATGAGCCATGTTACGACAAGAAAGCATGGTGCTTCTTTTGCCTTTGACAGGATGCTACTGAGTGGGCAACAACCTACAAGGCCGTCAACGTATCTCAAAAATGCTAAGCTTCAAGTCACGCCTGGAAATTTCTCAACATCGCAGGTGTTGGCCATCGTCTCTTGGGTTGCCAGCCTGCTTGTTGCCCTCCTCATCTGCTGCTGCCGCCAGGAGAACCGAGAAGAGTTTCTGCAATCTGCCAAACAAACAATTTTCAGGAGGTGAAGCTATCGACGAAGTGCATGGGGCAAGCTGCAGTTGTCTTGCTCTCAGTGCCCACTACAGCACATGCAGCCTTACACTCTCGGGTGCTGCGAGGTCATTTGGCGAATGCCAATCCTCCTCCTGTCTCCACTGCTCAAGGTTGCTGACGCAGGGGTTCCGTGATGGTCCGGGTACTCCAAGTTAAGCTCTACACAGGCTATCATCAAGACCGTTCTGTTCCTTCTGCCTGGAGCTCGTTTGAGGCACGTGCCAGTGTGAGCCCCGGCAGATCTCCTGCATAAGGCTGGCAGCTGGCTTTATCCACCTTCTGGCCACAGGCAAGTGGCCTTGCAAGTTCTCAGAGTGACCAGCACCAACCTGTATCCCAGAGTTGACTGGCACAGAAGGTGGACCCTCCTGCTAAATCGACGCAGAATATGTACAGAGCCTTCAACTAGCACCAAATGAAGGTGTCACAGTGGGAAATACATGACATGGAGATGACTCTACGAGCCTGAGCATAACCAGAGCAAATGCTGATGAGCTGGGTCTCCAGCGACTGATCTCAGACCTGACTTCTACAAATTTCTACCCTGCTTTCAAGATAAAAGCTCTGCTCTGTTAGCACCCAACCGCCGAAGGCGGTTTGTTTGTTTGCAATCCAGTCTTCGAGTATAGGCCAATGCAGGCGTCTGGCGAATTCTTTTTCATGAGCAGCCATGGTTGGCAACCGGCAAACCTTGCAACACAACATTCACTGACAAAGCATCCTTGATTCTGGTCTTATGCTTTCGCTTCGGGCAATACGGAGCCACACGCCCTAATAAGATCGCAGCTTGACCAGAAAGCCTCCTGAACAGTGACACGATCTTGAGGAGTTCAGGTCAACAGGCCTGTTTCCTATGATCAGCCTGGCTAAAATCAACTCGGCTGATTTTTGCTTGGGTTCCTCCTCTTACGGGATACCCGAGTGAGCCACTTGGACAAAGCCTGGAGAGCAGGCGACGTGTCTGGCCGTGGCAGAGAGCGTCATCTAGATCTATCAGGCACGCAGAATTGCCAGAGCGGCTTCCATGAAAACACCGGCAACCCTGGTTACATCTGTTCACTGGGCCGCGCGGCAGCAGCCTGCAGCAGCATTCGGTGCTTGTTGCCGTATCTGGTCAGGTCCGCAGAAGACAATGTTGGTTGCTTACGCCTTCATTGCTTTATGGGTGCTGGCATACGTCAGCTGGGAGCCTGGATGCTGTCACTGCAATGCTGGTTATGCCGGTTGCTGGTTGTTCGGAGCTTGACAACTATGTCTTACCTGTTCATCTGAGGTTTAGCATTCCAAAAGCTGTCTGCATAAGGCATGTCTGTGTGGATCAGCAGCACTCAGGTGCACTCTATCAGTTCTCCATCGCCTATGCGACAGCCAAATACTTCTGTGCAAGCATTGAGAATGGCCGCAAGGCGGAAAGACCGCTGATGATATGCAAAATCGATCCTCGAATTCGGTCATGGTGATGACTGGCAGACAATGCATGACATTGCCATCTCCATTGCATCCAGGCTGTTCCTGCGTGCAGTGTGTGCGAGGGTGTTCGTGTGAGCCCTGGACACTCTAGGGCCTCTAGGGTGTCTGGGCGTTTTACATGCAGTGCAAAGCAGTGCCGAGCAGTGCCCAGGAATGGGGCTTTGGTACCATTCCGGATCTCTTGCTTTTGGCTCTTCTTTGATAGCCGCTCTAGAGCAGCATCCTCAGAATCAAGGGCATAGGCCGCAGGAGTAAGCTTTGCAAGTAAGAATGCCCTGCGCAAGTAGATGTTGGAGCAGTTGAACAGGTTACTGCAAAGACTGCTAGAGTGGGTGGAGAAGAAGAGCATGGAGGCGCTTGACAACCTCAGCCTGCTTTGCTGCTTTGGAGCAAGCTTCAAGACTATTGCAGGCTGGCGAGTTGAACAAGGTCATCACCTGCTGTATCTCCACACTCCTCTGTTGTTGCAGGCAGGAGTGGGATGAAAGCACATAGCCGTCTGCGACCAGCAATCGCCAGTTGCCAAAACTTTTGGCTGGTGACAGTGCTCGGGAGCTGGTAATGTCGCATATCTTGTTGCATGGCCTACCTGACTCATCCACCTGCCTTTTGGTCTTTCTCTCGGCTGGCAGTGCCAGCGGAGCGCGGGGCACCAACAGATGGTTGCACGCACCCGTAAAAGGTAACCCAATCGACAGCACAGCCGTGTCGGTGAATAGTTGTTTATTCGGCCGGGAATCTTACTTGTGAGCAGAGACCTTGCCAAGGTAGGATTGCTGTTGGCTGACCTGAGCTTCCGGAAATGAATCGGACCTGCCTTTAGTGCTTCTTGATCTCTTTTCCTTTCTGGCCAGCATTCCTACAAGCTGATAATGTTGTCTCCGCACCTCCGATCTCTGGCTTGCGAGCTGTGCGAGTGTCTAACCATAAGCGATTATTGCAGCGCCAGGTGCTTGGAGGGAGTTATACAGTTCATCAACAAAAATGTGCATGCCTGAGAAGCCTGGCATCGCAAGAGTGCGTCAGCTCAACATCTTTGGCAATACCCTGGTGCTCGAGTGAGTGCCACATGTTCTGACCACTGCGCGGGCCATCTTCCAGGTTTACATCGATATCGCCCTGACCTCCAAGAACTTTTGCTCGGCGCTGCCTGAACCCCAGACAGATCCGCTATGGAACATTGGGAGCGTGTCAGTGGCGGAGGCAGAGCATCGCCAAGATCATGATCGACCACGGCGCGGCAATGGCCATCCTTAACGGTGCGCTTCCAAGACAGGTTGCGTGCAGTGGTAAAGCTTGGACTAATCCAACTTTCACAATCCCCTCTGGTGGCTATGCTGCAAGAGATGGTACTAAGGTGCAACGTGCATCTTCCAGGTTGTTGGCATGGACACGAGCTTAGTCACAACGCATTGCGAGGCCAGGGACTAGAAGTTGTCAGCAGACAATGCTGCTCTAGGCGGCAATCACCGCGTCATGCGGGCTTCTCTCTGCCTGGCTGTTGGAGCCTCGACGGCTTTCAATGCAGAATGAGGCTATGGCGATTGTCCTGCCCTTTTTTTCGACTCACGTTCGGAAAGCTTTCGCCCAGGTTGTCGGCTGACAAATATCAGGATGTGACAAGCACTTCGTATGCTGGACGCTCAGCTGTGCGCTGTGCCACGAGCTCGAAACGCCTGCTTTGAACGATGAACAGAGCGCTCAGATTCCGAATCCCGGATATGCGATTGCTTTGTCAGCCTTTCTGTCGTTTCTGGTGGTTCAGCGCTCAGCGGAGCACTGTCGGGCCAAGCTGCTCTGCGCTGCTCCGCTCAAGGCATGGTCCTTCATGGCAATTTTCGATGTGACGTCTGACACCCTGTGTCTCGGCAGTCTGTTGATACAACTGTTTCTGTATGACCAAACTACTGCAGTCCCATGGCAGCCAATGCCACATGCTCCAGCAAGGTTAATATGCTTTGCTGAAGACATGACGCAAAGTGGCGGTGCGAAGCATGGGCAACACAACCAGGAGAGGGTGAAGGGAAAGCAGGTGTTGCAATCTGCCTGGTGCGTTCCACTTTATGCAAACCCAGCGATTCATAACTGTCATACGCTTGAAATTTCCCGGCTCCGATGTTCATGCTTCGAGCCTGCAGGGGTCCCTGGAGTACACCCTTCGAAGTTCTTAGAAAAGGGCACGCAGAAAGGTGTACAGGACGACAGCCTGGTCAGCTCATGCGGACAGCTGATGCTTAAAGCTTGACACTTTTTGATAAAATAGCTCCGACTTGAGGGCAAGGGGCTGCGACATTATAAGGCCCCAAATGTGCGATAAGTTCCAGCCATGCATCTAAACGTTAAGGAGGTTGTGCTGAACGGTAGCCTGCCTGCTGCCCAAAATCATGCGGCACGGCTCCTTTTTGGCCTTCCGCGTAATCCCACCGAAAGTTCGTGACACTCCCGCGTTCACTGAAGAAGCTCAACTAGATCAAGAACCTCACGAAGGCTGTCGACAGACAGCTGGCAGCTTTGCCTTCTTCACCACACGCCATGTGAATAGCTTCATGAGACATGTCAGCTGCAAGGTGCGCGCGCAGGCAAGGCTTTCTGCTACAAAGGCGCAATCTTTATTGTTTGGTTGTCTGGTGATCCACCGAAAAGACTTGGCACACTGTTCCTCAGGTCCTTGAGCATCCTTGAGCCACACGCGCACAATGCACCTTTGTTTGAGAAAAACTTGCAACGGTGCGAGCACTTAAAATGATTCACAGGACATTCAGACACATGCCTGCAAATGGTTGCGCCATGACGTTCGGCTTCCTCCATTTTCTTGGCAACATCAAACACTTGTTGACATGCTTACTGCAACTTGGAAGGCAAACGCCGTGCACAACTTGGGCAAAATCTCTGGAGGTTTCTGTGAGAAGCACAAGAGGCGGAGGAGAATATCAAAGACCGAATTGCCACCCAGGTTTCGAGGAAGTAGATGCGAGGTGTTGGAGCTGAAATGTTTGAGGATGGCCGTGGGCAGTTTGCCATTCAAATGCCACGTGTTCTAGAAGGGAAACATGACCGCCTCCCATCCGTTGTCCACCTTGGTGAAGTCTGGTCGGACCTGGTGGCCAGCCATCTAGAAGGCGTCGGTGTAGATGACCGAAAATGCAACCTCAGGGTCTCCTCCGTTTCAATGGTGTCCTCAACTACGACGGGAACTCGAACACCAGCGACGGGAACATTCGATTCCTCCGTAAAGTCTCCGTTATGGGAGATTATGCGAAGGGCACCACAGGTGCCACTCAGACACCAGAGGATTTTCAGGCACTGCTAGAATCATGGTTGGGAAAAAACCGTGCGTTCAGTGGCTGCAAGGTCAGCAGGTTTGCACTTGTTCATCTAGTGCGGTAAGATTGTTGTTCAACATTGCTCAGTTAAAAGAAATCTCGTCATGCATGGTAAAAGAGACTTGACGTCGTAAGGATGACGTAAGTGTGCACGTAAATAATTTGATATGGTTTGCTCTTCAAGTAGACGTCAAGTGCATACGAAGTTCATCGACGTTGATACGAGTGAGCTAGCATGATTTGGTCCGTGGGAAGCAAGCGTAACAACTTCCCGGTTTTTTTAACAACCAGAGAAAGTTGTCAATTGGCACGAGAAAAATGCCTTGATTGAAGCAAGCCATCCAGAAATGTTGGGGTGTCGAGAGGCGACAGGCCAACATGGCAATTACGTGGAAAAGGTCAGGCCAGGGAGGGGGGCAGATTTGCGCGTCAGAGATCAAAGGCGCCAAACATGCTGGCTGTCTACAGACCAAATGCGCAGCGCAAGTCCCGCATAGCTTCTGTTGCTTTGCTCCAGATCGCACACGCCTTGAAGCTGTTCATCTTAGTTCTCTTACATGCAGGACTTGAAGATGATCTATGAAGAAGCGCAGGAGCGTGCCAGAGAGATGTGCGCATCCGAGTCATCAAGCAGTCGCCAATCTTGCGTCTTCTGCACAGATGTTGAGGCAAGCAACCGAAGCATCTTCGGAAGATGAAGGCCATCCTCATCCAAAGTGCCCCCAATGCTAGGTGGAAGGTATTGCATGCTAGGGTTACAGATGCGCAGCCCTGCAAAGATGGGGTCGGAAATTCATCATGCAAGGTACCGATACGCCCGTGGAAAGTGACGTGACGCGGCAACTCCTTGATTTCCATTTAAATCCTTTTCATAACCAAGTTTGCAGGCTGGGCCTATTGCTTTCAATCTGCGCAGACCATATCAAAACATCTGCAAAGTCTCAGATGTTACCGGTTACTGTAGACAAGCCAATGACCCCTCCAGCAAGGCAAAAGGGCACCATGGGAGCTTAGGTTTGCTTATCGACATGCCCACCGCTTGTGAGAGTGCTTCAGAGCAAGTTCAGCTGCTTGTATGACACTTCGCTGTTTGCAGCCAGGCGACCTAGTAGCTACTGATGGTGCTGATGCGTGTCAGAGTTTTATCTTGATTGATGCTTCTAGATGTCAGTGGCCTCTTCCATGCACGTAGACGTCAGCGGCTTGTTCTTCATGTTATAGCAGTGAACACCTGCGCAGTTTCATCAGAAGGGATAGGAGAGAGTGAAGGCATTCCGAGGGTGCACTCGCAATGCTGTCTCACACAGCTACGCCTTGCAAGGCGACGTTTTTGCAGCCCAGTGTATTTGCTTACCTTTAATTGGCCACTTTCTCAAGCACGGAACATCTTATGCAGCATGTGGTATGCAGTGCCAGGAGTGGCTGCGGCATGGTTGGGGGTAGCTGGGGGCCAGCCTTGATATGTTTTGTCGAGTTCTAGCGCGTCAGATGCGTTTCAAACATTGCCTGCCAGGAACCGCTTTGTATTTCCTGCTCCGGACCCATCTTATGGACCCCAGTCATATCGAAGGCTCCGAGCTGGCTTACGTGCCGCGATAGACGCTTCGCGTTTGAAGTCGGTTCGGCTGTACCAGGCACCTATGCTGGATTCCCTGGAACACCGTCATCTCACCAGATCACGCCCATGGCCTAGCAAGCCCTTAACGGAGTGATCCCCTCTTTTCACCCAAAGCTCCGCCAAGGCCAAGGATCCGAGCCTTCAGGCCAGGCTTTTCTCGCATTCTCCCTGAAGCGAAGCTCGCGAAGCTCCTGAATCATTTCTTTCGCAGGACGGCATTCCCTGTTTGTCCACTTCTCAGAGGGACTCCCTTCTATGGAAGTGCAAGGGCCTTCAGCCGGTTGTACATGAAGCATCGCTTTGATCCAATTCCACGAAGTATTAGCTACTGCAGCGGCACAACATTTGAGGGATCTGATGGACTCCTCAAACAAGTTGACGTGACATAGGATGATGATGCCCAACAGAGAGCGATCTTGATGAGGTGGTTTCCCGCGCCGAAGGCAGCCACAGTGATTCTTTTCTTCCATGCCAACGCGGAGGAGAAGCATCGGGACTTTTGCAAACTGCAGAAGTGCTCAATTAACGGCATCAGGACTTGGGTATGTCGTTTGCAATTCTAAAGCACATGCGCGACCAGTTCAAGGCAGCTTGCGTTAGGCCGGTGGAGTTGGTTGGACACTCCACCTGAGCACGACAGGTGAATGTGCTTGCGGCAGAGTATCCAGGCAGTGGAAATACGGAACGTAAGATAGATTTCCCAAAGCCCTGGCATGATCACGGAAATCGGAGCACAATTGTGTAAGATTTCTGCTGAAGAGGCTGCTGAAGAGGATTGTTGTGTTTGGACAGGATATGGACTTCTTCACCACGTCGAGCCTTCTGAGGTGCGGCATCACGAAAGAGTGATTCCATTCCGCACGACGTCCTTCTTTGCTACGGACCGAGGATGGGGTCTGCGAAGTAGCGCTGACAACCTTTCGCTTCCTGGCGTTATCCTCAGATTCTGATCAAGTTTGGCACATGATGCTCTCCCTGCCTTGTTCGAAGGTCGACGTGCTTGGTGTGCGGTACTCACAGCCACGGGCTATGACCACCGATTGACTTCTGCATTGTCATTCGGGATCCTGGGAATGCCCCTCTGAGGATAGTCCTCTTCGGCAGGTCTTTGGGGAGTGGTTTGGGACTTTGACAAAGTGGCCACACAAGAGAAGTGGGAAGCACCTCAGTCCAAGGCCCAGCTGTGTTCCTGGCGTCCCAGTTTCCGGTCGGAGGCCACGGGAGGAGGCTTCTTTTCGCGAGTGCTTTCGCAGTCCGAGTCAGGCCTGATCCTGGTATCTGCCTTCTCCTCCATCCGGGCTGCGGTGCCATGAGAGCAACTACCTGCAAAGTAGGTTAGGCATCACGTTACACAGCTTCCGCAACGAGGTGGAGAGCATTGCAGGCAGATTCTTCGCCATGGCATTCCGAGAGTCGGTGCCCTGGGCAGAGACTAACGTCCGAGAAAGTGTGTGAACAAGTCTTTAAAAGTTGAGAGCTGGATTGGAGGCGGTTTCCAAATCACAAGACCATTGCCAATGTGCTGGCATCTGAGCGGATTGACGGTGGCGACGTTGCGAGCTATGTTGCCATCATGTTGCCAGTCTTAGGTCTTGTTCCACCCTGTTTATCCATGGGGAGTCCGATGGAGCTCCGCTTACAGCCATCGTTCCTGTTTGCTTTTTGGAGAGTAGCCGCCTCAGGGCTAATCCCGGTGGAGCATTCGGTGAAGCTCTTCAAGCGCTGCGCGCCCCTCAAGCTCTCGCTCCGGCAGTGATTGTGGACACTGACACGTGCAAACTCTCTCCTTTCTGCTGGAAAGACACGGGCACATTAGGCAGGAGCCTGTTTGGGGAATTGGGGCAAGCCCGGTTTGTCAGTTAAGGCCGTGCTCGAAAGCTGCTAGTGACGCCACCAGATATGGAGCACAACTCCAATCTCTTCGGACCAAGCCCAAGAAGTCCCTATTACAGGATCTTTTCCGTGTGTGCATGAGGTTGCGAGGTTGAGAACTTGTTTTTGGCCCAAGGGGATGCTTCTTTCCTGGCGATTCCGGCTATCCATTTCTTTGGCTTTCCAGGCGTGCCGGTCATACCCTCTGTTTGGGCAATGTCGAGCTTGCTTGCAGGCTACTACACCTCCACGCCGTCAGCGCCTCAACATCGCTTTTGGCTCTTAGCTCAGCGGCTGTCCTTTGCTTGGCCAGACCGCGGCTTCCTGCAAGCATGTTTGAGACACCCGACCGTCGCTTGCGCCTGGGCCTCTAAAATCTCAACCTCCGCAGACACTTCGCGCAAATGCCAACTGTTCCGAGGCCTTGCGGGCCAAGTGCAACAAGAGGGAGGTGCCCGACCCTTCCTCTGTGACTGGGTCTCAGCCCTGAAAGTAGGGCCATCTGGTCTGCAGTCGTCAAGGTGTGCTGGTAACCAGAGAGAGAGTGACTCTCCCAGTTCTTCTTTCTCTCAAGGTCCAGAAGGTACCTTCTCAAGAGAAAACTGATCTTTGCAGTCACCCTTCTTGTGGGCGGGCTTTCCGCATGCCCATCAACGGCCGTACTTTTGGGATGTCCTTAACATCTTGAGACTTGTGGCGTAGCGTGATCGGCAAGCTCTTTAGCATTGAGCAGCAACTGAGTGGCAAATCCCGAGCCGTTCATAGCCAAGAGCAGGAAAGGTAAGCACACAATGCAAGAAAGGCCCTCCAATATTACCGATTCCAACAGGTGGCCGAGATCTGGATGACCAACGTTGCAAGCACATGTAAGCACATGCAAGCACAGCGCCTAAGGATTGCCTGGCCAAACGAGCATGTGTCCCAGAGAGAGAAGGCAAGATTTAGGATTTTGTAGCCGAGCTTTGAGCTGAGGATCAGCACAGCCTGGATGCAGGGCCGAGCACTTGAAGTGAAGCGATTTACGACATTTATGACGCTCGAGGCCTTGGACTTGGGTTTGACCTTTCAGGTTTGCACGTCCTGCGGATGGCGTGGACAACATCACCATCTGCTTGTACAAGGCGGCGTTTTCCTACACATCGAATGTATCCACTCCCCGTTACGTGAGATGAACAAGATGGAAAGTGCAAATCTGAGGACACCAGCGATGAGGTCGAGCTGGTGGGTGAAGAGGCGAAGGAACGCCAACCCCCCAACTGCTGCAGAAGTGTAGATCTCATCCCGAGCTTCAAAAAAAGTGTTCGTAAAAAGTTCGCAACATGCACTCATGAGAGACATGCGAACAGAACGAGGGAGGAAGTTGTAGTCATGGGGTTCCTGCAGCCTGCAGAGCCTACCTGAACCATGTGGACTTTTGCTTAGTGCATGCCTGAAAGTGGAGGTAGGCCATGCTTTGAATGAATCAGCATATGACCGCTGTGGAATGAGGCCTGAAAAAGATGGCCGAGGAAGCTTTGCTTGAGAAACAGGTCTGAACAATTCTGGACAGGCCTCAGCTGAGAATTTAGTAAATCTATCAATATCCAGGCAGTCTCCCATGTCCAAGCTGAAGGCGACCTAGGAGAAGGCCGGGTAGCGTGTCCGAACTATTTCAAGTACTCAGTCTGCTTAGTGCGGAGTCCTGGTGCCAGTGGCAGGTGAGCTCGAATGGCGGGAGGCCTTGGTGTGCAGCGTTGTGCAGCGCTGTGCAGCGGTGTGCAGCAGCTGGCAGCACAGAAAGACTGAGCTATGACCGTGACCTATGACTCTGTGTGCTTTGCAGGAGCCTGGGCCTGGTCAGGTGCAAAGCGGAGCTGAGCCCGGGCCTTGTTTCTGCCTTTGGCCGACGCAGGGCAACGCGAATGGCTCTTGGGCCTAGGCTTCCGAAGCAGGATGGCCCGGCACCACTCTGACAGTCCAATGCGACTGCACCCTGCCCCGCGACGCAACTCAGCAGTCTCACCCTGTGCGACGGGCTGTGAACAAAGGGTCGATTTGCTAATTCCTCGAGCACAGTCCCGCAGTCACCAGGCTGCTGTGCAAGCATGCGCAAGCTCTGGAGAGGAAGCGTTCGTGCAGGGATACAGAACTCTGCCTGCGGGCGGCCTGGGCGGCTATCCGCAGAGCTGTGCAGCTCAGCCTTTCTGCATCTTTCTGCTGTTTCGGATTGCTTGTCGCAGCGGGACTCGGGACATTCTGCCTGGGCACAGGAGATTTGCAGGATGCAACTTGCCATGGTGCAGGGGGTTTGTGGATGTTTCTCGGAGTTGGTCCGTTCTGGTGTGGGGAGAGAGGAAAGCCTGGATCCGGATCTTTTTCAGATTCGGGCTCCGCGAGGCTGAGGCGAATTTGATCGGCAGGGCCTCTGGTTGCCGGATGCTAATTAGGCTTTTCCGCGTCCCGTTTGTCATGCTTCAAGGTCCATCCTGCAGCTGGACGTCGTAAAGATGCTTTTTGTGGTCTGACGTGTGGTTTTTAACTTTTTACCCCAGCATTTTTGTTACAAAAAATGTCTCGCGGTGGCAGGTCGGGAGATGATCCCAAGTCTAGCACTTCCCGTGAGTTGGGAGCACTGAACCTGCAGGGCTTGCCTGCTGTTGGACAACTTCGTCCCCAAGAGAGGGCAACTAGGAGGACGAGGAAGGTAAATGATTTCGTGAGCATCATTTCCTTGCCCCTTGTCTCGTAGCACTTTTCTAGAAAGAGACGTGCTCAGTCTCCAGTGTCCAGTGCTCGCATGAATCTCAAGATGGCAATTTTCCATGCATGGACTTACCATCACCTCACAAAAAGACCTGAGCTTAGGTGCAACAGCCTTGCGATCAGTTGCATGCGTGTAGTTACATTAATATCCGGCTAAGCACGAGTGTGGCAGTTGCTTTGTGCTGATACACATGCCGGGCGAACGGGCACATGATCGGAGAGGTGGGCCATCTCTGGAACTGAGCATGCGGACATGAACAGTTCTTTGCTGTGGAGGAAGACTACGACCATCTTTACAAGCTGGTGCTTGTCGGCGTGTCAGTCTCAGATGCTTGCGGCTGCGGTATGTCTGCAGTATGTTCTGCGGAAACTTGTTGCAGGATGCCACCGTGGGTAAGACTCACATATTGCCCGGCACTATCGACACACCTGTGAACATGCGTTCAGTTCAGGTTGGTATGTCAAAACGAAGCCTTCAAAAGGTCACGGTACATCAAGGGCACCCTGCCAAAAGCGCACTGTCCCAAGCGTACGAAGTGAGTGAGTTCAAGAGCAAAAGCGAGGGGTGAGCATCCGAAGGATTTGCGCCGAGACTTGCTTCTATGGCTGGAGGCCAACAGCAACGATCGGTGTCGAGTTCGCGACGCGGACTGTTAGCTTAGATACAGGCTGTGCGGTCCCTGGCTTCGCGCCGCTTCTTGATAGGTCTGAATGCTGATCTCTGAAGATTTTCAAGGTACAGTGAAGGCCCAGATTTGGGACACAGCTGGCCAGGAGAGGCAGGCTCAGTTTACCAGAAGCTGGGCCTGAAGCGTCATGGGAGCGTTTTCTCATGCAGGTACAGAGCCATCACCAGCGCTCACTACAGACGAGCGGTTGGAGCCGTTCGCGGCATGTTTGATCAGATTTCGGAGGTGCTCGTGTCCAAATCAGTGCAAGGGCATTTGCGGATCTCGTCTCTGGAGATGTCTGGAGTGATGTCTCATCTCGCCACCACTCGCGCATCTCGCGCGTGCCTCCTAAGATCATAGCTCGCGATTCCTCTGTCGGAGCTTTGATGCGCAAAGGCATTTCATCCCCTGCGCCCCTGTGACCATACTCATGTTCATCAGATTCGATGAAAAACAACCGCGAACGCTGAGTTGGCCAGGCGCTGCTGGTCTACGACATCACGCAGCCAGCGACTTTCAAGAGTTGCAGGAACCTGAGAAAAGAAGATCTTTGCCAATTTGCTTTTTCTGCTTCACAACACTCGCTTGTGGAAGGCCAAAGATGGATGGATGAGTTGCGTTCAAATGCTGCTTGGTTTTGGATGGACAGACGGGTTTGCCAAACGGGTTTGCCAAACAAGGCTGGCACAGGCAGCATGTTGAAGCTAAGGCAGAGCCAGACATCGTCATCATGCTGGTCGGGAACAAGGCTGTCTGCATCAGTCTGCCTCATCCCCATTATATGGCACCTTTTCTACAACCCCCCCCACTAACCCGCAATAAGTCCACTGTTGGGAGGCCATGGCAGGAGCTGCTGAAACTCAAAAAAAAATAAATTGCTATAAAACTTTTCTGCGCTGTGCGCGAGAGGTGGACCTGGCAGAGAAAAGTGCCGGCGACCGTCAGGCCAAAGCTTTTAGATGTAGGATTTGCTGGTGTTTTCTCCCATTTTCAGGCAGCTCAAGATTTTCAGGTCGACTTTGACACGGCCTCTGACTTTGCTTCCCAGCAAGGGCTTCTGTTTGAAGAGGCCATCACCTGCGTGATGCGCCTGCAGCGAAGAGTTGAGGATTATTTCAAAGGTGCGTTCTTCAGATTGAACTGGAAGGCAAGTGCAGTGACCGGCGCGAACATCAAAGCGTGCTTCGAGAAGCTGCTCAAGGTAGGTGTCTCAACATATGTATGCCTGGCCTGGGACTGAACTGTGCCAGCTGTGTTAATCTCATAAGGAAATCTACAGCACAACCCAGCATCGAAGAGACAGGGAGCCGATGGCCACTTGCCTCCAGGTTGTGTCTGCTACAGATCCTGTGTGCAAGTGAAGTCTCTTAGGATCCCACCAACAGCATGCACTTGCAGGGTGCGGCGCCTACAGCGGGCGGATTCATCTGACTTCGCTCGGATGCCCTCTGTTGACTGTTGAACTTCAGGGGGGTCAGGGCAAGCTGAGTGTGCCCGATAGCCGAGCTTTTTCGACCTTCTCCACACACCACACAAACGACCTGCTCTACGGCCACTGCCTCTGTGTACCGAGGCATGCTGAGTCAACAAGGTTGGGTGTGCGAGCCAGGAAAAGAGAAGGCGATAAGCATGTGGGCCTTGCTGGATGCGCAAGCTTGTTTGATTCTTGGAAGCATTTGGCTCGAGTGGTCTGCTCCTAGCTTCTGGCAGCTGGCTCAATGACTTGCACCTCGGCTGATGGAAACAGGGGTGCACGCTTCCAGTTTGCTTGCATTGCATGACAGTGAGGTGCCGCGGTGCTGCTTCTGTGCAGCCTTCTGGCAACGCTTCTGGCTCAGCAGCCAGGAACCCATGTGGTGGAGTCCCACCCGGACAGGGGTGCAAAATGCCGCGGTGTCTTTTAGGCAAACGTTTTGGTGGTGATGGCTTCGACTGCGGACTGATGCTTTGCCACAGTTTTTCAGGAGTTGCCGCTGTGGACATGCGATGCATCAGGCTGCACAAAGGAGATGAAAGAAGTAGCGGCTCAACTACGTTTACATCGTTTCATTCTAGGCGTGCCTATCTCTCTCTCTGTCTCTTTCTCTCTCTCTTTCTTCTTAAGCACCACGGCTCAAGCTAATTTTTGTCGTAGCGGATGGGTAGATAGCCACCAGGCGTGTAAAAGGAGTCTCTGCAAGCTGTTTCAGTGTGAGAAGTGCTGGACTCATCTTGAAAATATGCTGCCTCATCGTAACAAGCGTATGCACTCAGAAGCTGCCTCCTCCCCTGCCGCATCTCCTCCTGCAGAGGAACCAGGATCACCAGGCAGCGGTGGAACCAGGTCGTCCCAACGTACGGCCCCCTATTTGGAGCGGCCACCCTGTGAATCAGACTATGCACTGGACGGTAGGGCGGACAAGCTTCTGCCTATCGACCGACTTGCGTTGTGGCTTGAACTTCGTAGTACCACTACAAAAGGAAATCCTTAGATTTGGTCTTGAACGGTACTTCTTGGAGTACCCGGCCCCTGATAGGGAGAACCGACAGCAGATTGAGACCCAGATTAGAGCCACTCCTGCAACCAGTGACGTCCTCTCACATCTGCAAATGTTCCGAGACCTTCTTAGCAGGGATGCCTACTGCCTTATGCTTGAACAATTGTTGCAACATATCAGGGCCAGAGTTCTTTTGATCTATATTGCGGACATGCTGCGCATCATGTTGGCCCCAGACACTGAGGAGCCGGATCCTACCATTCAGGACGAAGCTAGTGAATCTGAGGACTCTGCTCAGTCAGACGAAATTTTCACTAGTACGCAATATCGGCTGTTTGCCATGTTCGAGGACTTATTGGCTGAACACGCGCAACACTCCTGCACCGGGTTTGAGCGATCGCTACGGGCCACTCAAGTATGGCAAGCCATTGAACGAGGCTCTCGAGAAGAGGCGGGACAGATCATTCCAGCTGCTCTCTTGCCGGACGAGCAGGAGCCCTGGTCACGCATGCTGCATGCTGCCAACATGGAACAGCACCTTGACATGTGAGATGAGCTACATGTATCCGGCACTCGCACAGGTGCCGACTCTGCGATGCACGGCCCTCAGTGGCGCCGAAAGATGCAACGCGCACAGAGCTGAAATAGCAAATGCCTCCATCTTGAATAGCGAATTCGCTGTGCTGCTTCCGCCTAGAGAGCACATTCAATGTCATGCTGCGGCTCGAGTAACATACTGGTCTAGTGAGCCGGACAAGCACCGAACTGGTGCCGCGCGTGCACACTTGTACTCCTCCGCATTATGTCAGACGGCTTCGAAAGACTGGTGTCGAAGATGGGGCAAGCAGTTCGGGAACAATGTGCAAATTCTGATGAGGAGGGCCAACTTCGCCTCATCAGCACTCTTCTGCAGACTGTCGCAGAGATGGAAGAGGAGTCCGGCCATTCCGCCGAGGAGGCCGCAATCAGGACGGGAACGGTCTCAGGAGGGAATCAAGGTGGCCCGCCAGATGCGCAACCGCTGCCCGGGGATGCCGCTGTGTTACGGCCCCTCAGCCCCCCAATCGGCCTCGTTGCGAAACATAGAGGTAGGCCGGTCTCTGAAGAGCAGTCTGTTGCAGCTGGCGTTGCCCACAATCAACCTCAGCCCCATTATTATCAGAACCCCAGAGCATGTTTACGCGGTGCTCCAAACATGACAGGTCGTCGGGCAGCAAACGAGCTCGCTTCCAACAGTCAGGAGCCCAAACTTGATTGCATTTCATGTCATCAGACTCTGTCAGCTTCACGTCAGTGCGTACGGCCTTGCGTGAGTGCCGAAACATCAACCATCTCTGGCGAAGCCATCATGGTGTCAAATCGCAAAAGGTTTAAACACAGCGCCCCGTGCCAGGATTCGGCCCGATGGTACGCGGCGCCGCGCCAAAAATGGCGAAGCGTGCCAAGAGGAGAAGCCAAGGCAAAAGCGGCCCCCGAGACGGGGTGCCGCGTCGGCCTCTACAGAGAGCAGGGAAGAATCTGGCCCGGAACCACCAAGAACCGTTGCTGGGCAGCAGGAATCAGACCATAATCAAGACAGAGAAGCAAGCGGCCACCGACACAAGACGATGGCTCAGACGGCCACCTCAGGGCCCAGGCGTAGCAGACGCTCAAGGATGAGTGCCGTCAGCCAAATCGGCCCCACCACATGGTGGCCGCCAAGCGCTGCGCATACAGCGTCATCCTAGAAGAGAGGACAGCAAAGGAAGAGGCCGATCTCCGGCCCCCAGGTCCGGCCCCGATCGTGGGAGCCGACGTCAAAAGCCGCCTCCGAGACGCTCAAGGAGTGAGCAGTTGGGGAGGGCCCTCGCGTACGTTCTTCGTCATAGTGCTGAGCAGCTGGGCATGCGGGCTGACGGCTACATCAGAGTCGACGACGTAATGCTTACAGAGACTACGCGGCGCTTGGCCACTCCAGATGAGCTCTGGCAGCGACTCGAGCAGATCGGCCCCCGCGAGGGCGCCGAGCTCACCCTCTATCATGCTACACGCCCAGGATACTGGACATCCATCAAGACTCACGGACTGATTCCTGGCAGCGCCGACGGGAGCCGAAAGCACATCCGCTTTGCTACGGCCCCGTCCCCGGAGCCGGGATGCGAGACGGAGAGCTTGTCCTGAAGTGCCGTGCCAGTGAACTGCTGGACTATGGATTGACACTTCTCAGGGCGACCAACGGTGTCATCCTCTGCCCTGCTCATCGCAAGGATGGAAAAAATGGACGCATGCAAATCAGGTCCAGTGTGTCTATGATATTCTTAATCATGATCGTCAAAGCCTGCCAAACTCTCTCTCCCAGGTAGGCCCTGAGAAGGCGCCGCACGGACAAGGGAAAGGAGATAGGGAAGGCGTGGAGCTCAGACACCAGCAGTACACCCAACCTGTATCTGTGTTGGACATAACCAAATCCTCTACTCAACATACATATCTCACTTTTCCACTATCTACGCCTGAACTAGCTTCTGCTGTCAATGCTATGTTAACAAACATTTCGAGCGTACATGTGCCCCTCTTAGAGCCCA